TGGCGCAGCTGAGTCACTGAACAGAAGGCAAGAAGTAATTCTAAAACCTGTGCAATAGAAAGTCTTCATTAAATGTCAATTTCATTAGATTTTTAATATACAGAGCAAGTGTATGATGAAGCTGAAAATGCCATGTATTTTTAAAGAAAACATTCTAAAACAAAACTTAAAAGTAGCTTCTAATTTTTCTTTCAATATTATTTTTCAAATGTGTGAATAGGTTCCAGAATGTTACAAATAAATTTATTAATGGTGCTTACTCCTGAGAAGCAGGACTGTGAGAACCTCAGAGGCAAGGTCAACTTCAACTAATGTTACACTACTCCCACCCCTTCCACAGTACTTATTTTTAAACATACACGTTTTGTTTATAAATGACCAAAAAAACCCTAAAAAATAAAATTAGAATGAACAATACTTGTTATAATCCTAAAATTCAATAACTGCTATAAAGGATACTGCAGCATAGAATATTAAACCTTCAGGATGGTTATTTCCACATTGTTTGCACTGTTGGCATTATGACCCTTAGCTCTCCTACTGTACCCCATTTCTTCTCTACTTTATAAATGAGCCTTCCACCATTACATAACATTCCCCATCAATCTGTTTATTAGATGTTAAGCTAAATTCCACCTCATTTCATACACTACCAATCATTAAAAAAAAAAAAATTTTTTCATAAGATCTCCTTGCCTCTCTGATTTCCAATTTTTTAAGTCTGATTCTTACAAATGATATATAATTGAGATTAGTGTTTTAATCAACTTGAGAGTATCTGTATTTAAGAGAATCCAGTCCGTTAGCATTTGCAGTAACAAATAATCTTTAATAAATATAAACTGTAGCACAGCCATGTGGCACTTAGTGATGATATGTCGCTTAATGCATCATTAAGTGATTTTGTCGTGTGATCATAAGAGTGTACTTACACAAACCTAGATGGTAGAGCCTACTGTACACCTTTATTGCCTGTGGGCTACAAGCCTGTACAGAATACTAAATACTATAGGCAACTATAACACAATTGTAAGTACTTGTGTATTTAGACATAGAATACAGTATAAAAGATTAAAAATGGTATACCCGTCCGCATAGAACACTTACCATAAATGAAACTTGCAGGACTGGAAGTTGCTCTGGGTGAGTTGTGAGTGAATGTAAAGGCCTAGGACATTACTGTATATTGCTCTAGACTTCATAAAGACTGTATGCTTAAGCTATATTTTAAAATTTCTTTAATAAATTAACCTTAGCTTAACATAACTTTTTAACTTTATAAGAGTGTCAATTTTTAAAGTTTTTGACTCTTGTAGTAAGAGAAACACATTATATAGCTATACAAAAATACTTTATTTATATCCATATTCCATCGGTTTTTTTCTATTTTTAAAATGTTGGGTTTGTTTTTCTTTTTAAACTTTTTTTGTTGAAAACAAAGACACAAACAGATACATTAGCCCAGGTCTACACTGGGCCAGGGTAATCAATATCACTTCCACCTCCATATCTTGTCCCACTGGAAGGTCTTCAGCGGCAGTAATACATAGGGAACTGTCATCTCTAATAACAACAATACCTTCTTCTGGAATACCTCCTGAAGGATCTGCCTGGCTGTTTTACAGCTAACTTTTTATAAGTAGAAGTACACTCTAAAATAACAAAGAATAAGTGGTAACGCCTTTATCAAAATATTGTGTACTGTACATAATCTTATTAATACGTGCTATACTTTTATACAACTGGCAGCTCAGTAGGTTTGTTTACACCAGCATCATCACAAACACATGTAATACACGTAACACTACCATGTTAAAATGTCCATGATGTCATAGGCAATAAGAAGTTTGTGTCTGTCATTGACTAAAATGTCATTATGTAATGTATGACTATACTTATTTTTGAATAGGTAATAAATTTACATGGTTCAAAAGACAAACCCTGGAGGCAAGCAATGTTACCAGTTGCTTGTGTATCTTATAAGATGTCCATTATGAACACACAAGAAGACAGCTTTCCATGCACATTAGTTTTCTTTTAACGTACATACATAAAAGTAAAAAAATTAATCACTAGTGCAGAGCTGGATGACTTTCCCAAAATGGAACATATTCCACTGTTGATGGTATTTGGGTTATCATTGTTAGTTATTAGGAACAGTACTGCTACATTCTGTACACATGTATACAATTCTTTGTGAAAAATACCTACAAGAGAGATTTCTAGGTCACAGTTTATACATATGCCCAGTATTAATAGATACCAGTTTTCATAATTGGTTGTACTGGGAGTACTAAATGAAAGTTAAGGTATGTTTGCTATTTTCCATTTTAATCAACTGATGGGTGACAGATGGTATCATACTACCATTTAAATTTGCATTTCCCTGAAGATTGATAAAGTGTTACAATCACTTCATGTTTATTGACCAATTCAACTTTTTTGCTCGGGTTATCTTCTGGGCTCTGTGTTTTTTTCTGATACATACGTACAATGTAGAAAAATGATGCATTTTGGATAAGAGTTCTTTGTTAGATATATACATTGTAGATATCTATTCCCATTCTTCGACTTTTCTTTCTTTTATTAGTGGTCTTATCATGAATAGAAACTTAATTTTAATGTAGCCCAACTTATAAACTTTTTCCTTGTAGAGTTAGTGCTTTTGTTTCCTGTTTAAGAAAATCATTGTCTACCCCAAGGCCATAAAGATACTCTGTTAAGTGTTTCTTCTAAAACCTTCATTATTTTTACTTTTCACATTTAAATCTACAACCTGTCTTATACTGAGTTTTGCATTTGGTATGAGGTGGGAGTGGGGTGGGGTGAAGATTCAGTTTTTGCCATATGCATATTCAATTGACCCAGTGTCAGAAATGACCATACCTTTAAGACTCTACTGTTGTCAATCAGGAGACCATATGCTGTGGGTTTGGTTCTGCTCCATTCTGTTCCATTGGGCTATCTATCATTATGACAAAATACTGCACTGTCTTTAGACTAATCCCCTAAGCACCTGACATTTTAAAAAATCAGTAAATAGCATAAAGTTCTATTTGTCAAGAGAATATAAGTAAAATATGTATTTACTGATCTTGTATCCAGCCGACTTGTTAAATAGATTGACTTAATTTTAATAATGGTTTCCATAGATTTTAGGTTTTCTATATTCTCAGGTCATCTGAATAGTGAGTTTTATTCTCCTTTCCAATCTCTATACCTTCTTAATTTCTCTTGCCTTATTGGGCTGGTTGGGACCACCAATACTATGCTGAACATTACTGGTGATAATGAGCATTGTTTTCTTATTCCTAATCTTGAGGAAAGCTTTCAATAATTTGCATTTAAAAAGATGATGCAGTAGATTTTTGGTAATTACTAGATCAGGGAAAGGAAGTTTCTCTTTATTCCCAATGTACTAATCTTAATCATGAAGAGGTATTAAATTTTATCAAATGCTATTCTCCCTTTAATGAGATAATATAGGTTTTCTGCTTTTTTGGTAATGTGGGAAATTATATTAATTTCCAAATGTTAAACCATCTTTGCATTCCTGCAATAAACCTCATTTAGTAATAAGACATGATCTTTTTTATGTGTCGCTAACTTTGATTTGCTAATATTTTGTTTAGGATTTTTGCGATACGTTCATGAAAGATAAAATTTTCATCTGTTGTAGTATCCTTGTCAGGTTTTGCTATTAAGGTTATACTGGCCTTATAATAAAACACACTGTACTCTATTATCTATTTAAAAAGACACTCAACTATTTCTTCCCCACCAAGATGTATTTTGCTTTCACTGCTCCCCACTTCTATCATAACAAGAATTATTTTTTACTTTAAAATAAAAACTAAGTTTTAAATTTTTATTTATTTTTATTTTTTTACTTTTTCATTCTCTTCCAGGTTTTCTGATACCCATAGAATGCTTCTACTCCCCTGAGCTACCTGACCCCCTAAATTCCCTGAGATGGTTTAATAACTTTAGATTCGATTATTAGATTTTTCCCTTGCTGTGTGTCTCCTCTATTTCAAGAATCCTTATTTAGCACCTATATTAGAGATTCCTAGTCACTTTATTAAGATCCATTTAGATGCTAACTAGGAATAGTTCTCACATTGCATAGGAGAAAGGAATGTAGAAATTCTAGTGTTCAAAATAAAAAGAAAATATAGTTAAGTAATAAACTTTGTACTATTTCAACCTTTCTACCATCTTTTATATCACTGTTGCAAATGATTAGTTCAAAGTCATTCTAATTTTTTTCTTCTATAAAAACTTATAAGGTAAAAGCTGACCTGAAAAAGTCTTACTTCACACCAGACACAAAAGTCAATTGTAGGAAGACTACAGATCTATATGGGAAAGTTAAAAAAGCTAGAAAGCTTTTAGAGGAAAACAATGGAGTCCATCTTTGTGACTTTGGAATATGCCAAGAGTTCCTAAGTGGAACACAAAAAACACTAAATTGATCTAAGTTAAAATCAAGGCACCATTAGGTGAGTAAAAAGGCAACTCACAGAATGGAAGAAAATATTTGCATGTCATATACCCATCAAAAGACTCCAAAATAAATCCTCCTACATGTAAGTGAGAGAAAGACAGACAATGCATTAAACAAATGAGCAAGAGACATAAACAGGCATGTCAAAGAATATATAAATGGCCAATGAATAAGTAAACTGATATTAATTTTCATTAATTAATAAAATATTAATTTAAATCATAATGCAATACTACTATTAGAATTGCATAAATGGCTAAAATGAAAACGTGAAAAATATCAAGGGTTGACAAGAACGCAGACTGACCAAATCTTCATACGCTGGTCCAACTGATATTTTGGGAAAACCGTTTCATAGTGCCTACTGAACATATGTATATCCTATGACATAGTGATTCCTCTCAAAGGTATAAAGCTAAGACAAGCATGTCCATAAGCTCATCAAAAGACATGTAGAAAATCGTAAATGGAGGTTTCTTCGTAACTGATAATCATAAACAAAAGAACACCAATTGTGCTCCTTTCCTCCTGGGGGCCCAGTGTGCAATGGCTGCAAATAGCTGCTTCCTCGGTAACATATGCAGCCTGTTGCTTGTATGGGTTGCACTAAGAAACCTTAGAAACAGCCCTTTCCAATGTACATTCATGTCTCTGACCTCCTGCTGTCCCTCATCTAGGCTTCCGAGAGGTATGTAAGGTGCGTTTGGAAAGCCCCCAGGGCATAGTGACCAGGGTTCACATTGGCCAAGTCATCATGTCCATTCACATGAATCTGCAAAATAAGGAGCATGTGACTAAGGCCCTACATGCAGGGCCAAGTTCAAGGTCCCTAGCTGCCAGAAGATCCATCTCAAAGTGGGGCTTTACCAAGTTAAATGTCAATAAATTTGAAGACATGGCAGCTGAGAAGTGGCTCATTCCAGACGGTGGTGAGGTCAAATACATTCCCAAATGAGGCTCCCTGACAAGTAGTAAGCACTACGTTCATAAGGGCTTTCATTGTAATGCCCCCTTACTCATGCTCATCAATAAATCATACTTCCTTTCTAAAAAAAGTACCAATCTAACAATCTACAACTATATGAAATATGAATGAATCTCATCACATTAACATTATGTTGAACCAAAAAAAGTCTAGACTGAAAACCTATTTATTATATGCTTTTATTTACATAAAACTCCAAAATAAAAAAAAAACCTCTCTCTATATACGCTGTTAGAAGTCAGTATAGTGGTTATAGCAGTTATCCTTGGTAAAGATAAGGAATGGGAAGGAATAGGTACTGACTGCAAGGAAGCATAAGAAGGGTTCTAGAATACTGGTAACATTCTACATTCTGATCTAGACACTGGCTACATAACTGTATCCCTATTGTAAAAATACAGAGAGCTGTGCTTTAGATTTTTCTGCATTTTACAGTTTTTTTAAAGTTTAAACAAAAAGTCATGTTTTTACATACCTTTGAAGAGGAATCAGGATCCTTTCCATTAAGAAGAACTAATACTTGATTAAGACATGAAGAAAAGTGCTCATATCTAGGTTTAAAATAAAAATATACATCAAATGATAAAATTGATATATCAAAAGGGATTTACAAGATAAATATAAAAATTATGTGTATCTTCTTTCATCTATTTATTTATTTGGGCTTCCAATATAGAACACATTCTTGTAAAGTTTATACTTAAAACTTGTCATATGTCTTATCATTATGATATACATAAATTGGCCCTGTCATTTATAAAAACAGTGATTCATGTGGCAATAAATAAATCATTAAAATTTTCAGTGCCTCAGTTGCTCTATTTTTTTAAGATTTTGTTCAGTTTGTAAAAATCCAAAGGATAGAGGAACATCCTAACAAATTATACAGCTGCTTATTTATTTAAGGCACCTAAAATTGCCAGGCACTAAATAAGTTTCTGCAAGTAAAGAAGTAAGGGGCAGCAACCTGTGTTACACAACTCCAAGAGGTATCAGAGGTACCCCTAGCATTATATTCTATGTGACTGATGTATCCTAGATTTGGGAGATGGTGCACTGACAGGGAGCTCACAGTCTAAAGATGAGGGAGAAGGACAGAAAGAGATAATACAAGGTAATATAAAATATAATGCTCTAATGAAGGAATGTATGGGACACTATGGAACAAAGAATATTGTCTCGGTATTAAACCCAGACTCGAGTCTTAAAAAACAGAAATAGAAGTTAGACATGTAAAAGAGAAAGTACTCTAGTCTTCTAGAGGGAATACCCTAGAGAAAATAGCACATGGATACATGAAAGGGTATTTCTAGTAAGGTGGAAGTTCTATTTATTGTCTAATATGATTAGACAAAAAAACAAAATGTATGAAGAAATAACGTTGAGAGGTTGTCAGGGATCAGATTTTGAAGGGCTATACTGAGAATGTGGATATTTACCTTGAATGTAATGGTAGGTAGGTCAAAGATTTTAAAAGGGACATGTGGTTGAAGAAAAAGTTTTGAGTATATTTATAAGTTAAACAGGAAAGGTCAACTGAATGGAAGGGCCCTGAAGAGAAAGGAGCAAGTGCTTCAGAAAAGTCAAAATGAGACAATGCATAGAGTAATGAACATACTTATGAGTAAAACAAGATGCAACTAAGTAAGAATTTGGTATAAACATAGGTAAGTTTGTCCAGGGGCAAGGATTTAAGACATCTCCATTCAAATGAGGCTCCATTTAGATTTTTTTTTTTTCTGTGAAACAGAGATAAGGTCATTTGCATAAAAGGAAGCAAGAGAAAAAGAATAAATTTGAAAGACCAGCTGGGCCAGAAGCTCAAATCTATAATCCCAGCGCTTTGGGAGGCCAAGGCAGGTGGATCTCTTGGGGTCAGGAGTTCAAGACCAGTATGGCCAACATGGCAAAACTCCTTCTCCATTAAAAATACAAAAATTAGCTGGGCGTGGTGACATGTGCCTATAATCCCACCTGTTTGGGAGGCTGAGGCACGAGAATCACTTGAACCCAGGAAGCGGAGGTTGCAGTGAGCCAGATTGCACCACTCCAGCCAGGGCAACAGAGCAAGGCTCTGTCTTTAAATAAATAAATTTGAAAGATGCATTGTAGGAAACGAGAAAGTAAGCTGACGAATAAATATAAGAGGTCCGGCCCAGATACAGTTGTATGATTTTCTCATGCTCTAATTAGTAGCCATGCATTAAGTTAGACTTTGGAAGAGATTTATTCAGGATTGGGTTATTGTTCAATGGCATACCAGATAAACAAGAGGAGTTGCCAGAGGTCATTCTGGGGTTCAGGATGGATAGAGTATAAAATAGATAATAGAACTCAGAGACTTACGGAAGAAATGATTAAGCAACCTCTCACTAATGCTAAACCAGATTATCTTTCAGTCTTCCAGAAGAGGTTTATTCAAAAGAATTTTTGTTTACTATGAAGCTGCTGAATAAGCACCTTCTGGTGGCCAGAATAGATATACATGGATATTGGGAGAATATTACAACAGATGAAGAGAAGGCAGGTCATGGGAAGGCACTCTGGAAGAAAAATCTCACTTATCTAGAGATTCTTAAGAGAAGAAACAGTGAAATGCTAAAGTGAATATTTCTTGGTTTCACAAAATATCAGCGGAGCCGAATGAACAGTGGTCAAGTTTGTCCTAGTGCTTAGCTTTTATTAAAACTTTTAGATTCTATGTTTCTTAAACATCAGGGACTGTGTCTTCATATCCTATTGCGGCTAAGTGCCTGACCATAGGTGGGGCTCAATAAATGTTTCTTGTATGTGAAACTCTTTGAAACAATTTTAGTTATTTCCTAATTCAGGATCACAAAGCAGTTTATGCCCCAGCAAAATTGAATTACAAAGCAAAAAGGCTACAAGCTCATTGGAAAACAATTACTACTTAATCTCAAAACATAAATGATCCCATGAAATACAGAGACAGAAAGCCATATGAACATGTGTTCCCATTTCACTTATAACAAAAGAGGCACACACCAAAGGAAACATTACCAATTTTTATACAAAAAATTTAAAAAAAGACACAAACATAAGGACTTCAATGTTTCAAGATTATAAATGTTTCATTTATTTATAATTTATGTAGAAATATTTATTTGTATTGTGCCTATAATGAAAATATTCTTTCAAATAATCATAATGCCGCTTAAGTTTTAAAATTAGCCAAAATGCCTATACTTTGGAGAATGGCATAACCCTATTGATCTAAAGCAAAGACGGAAATACACACATACACAATGACCTTGTTATACTTTACATTTCAGTTCAGGAAAGAAAAAGGAGTGGGAGTATATAGCACATCAAAACATTTCATTTTAGTCTACCGTGAATAAGTAGAATCCAAGTTTATTATATTTTAAGAAGACAATTTCATTTATAACAAACACATCTTGGTTTAAAAAAAAAAAAAGGTCTAAAAAATTGACTGAAGTGAGTCATACCTGGTAAGATAATCAGCAATTTTAGGATTCTTAAGGAGATCCATCAGTAGGTCAACTGAATACTTTCTAGTTAGAGTGCCATCACCGTTTATGAGAATATTAAATATTAGTTGAAAAGTCTGATGAATGTTTCGAGCATGGAACAGCTTAAGGACAAATTAGAAAAGGCATATTATACAAAAAAATTAAGTTGACACCATCCTAAAAGGTAAAAATAAAAATGTCTCAATGACTTTTAAAATATCAGACTATAAACTTCAGAATAAATGTGAAAATTGTATTTACCTTTTCCCCCACCTCTTCGTTTAATGTCAAGCTGTATAATATTGAAAGTGCAAACACAACCACAGTTAAACTACTATGGGCCAACAAGGTAATCAGAGTTCGATAAAAAGATTTCACATTACTCTGAGGGAACAAAAGTTAAAAGATAAATTAGAATTATGAATTTTATATTTTGGTTTAAAAAGTATATCCTGCACAGGGTAGGCCAACTTTCATTAAACATCATTATCAACTCTATTAAACGATTGTCGCATTTAAAAGACAAATGTTCTACAAAAGAAATTTAGATCAGAGATAATTTTAAATTCAAAAATTGTTATAAACAGAGTATCTAGAGAAAAAAATAATTTGGTGAATATGTGCAAACGAGTGGGAGATAAATTTTTGCGAAGTTCTGTCACCTTAGAATAAATAATTCAATGATGGTAAATCAGAGTGTCAATGCTAATAATGGGACACATGCAGAGTGGAAACAAAAGAGCTACCTTAAATACCTAGGAAAAGTTGTTAAGCATTTGTGTTAACAAAAGTACTGTAATGAGGAACTCTCATAATTGCGGTAGAAGCAAAAAAAAATTCAGCAAATCAAGAATTTGTTTTCCATTACACACTGTGGAGTAGCAATTAACTTTGCCATATTTGCTGATTATCATTTAGATTTAAGAGATAATTGCAGGTGTGAGTGAGATGGGTACTTTCATATATTACTGACAGTCATAGAGATAGACATAATCTTGGTGAATAGCAGTTTCTACACATGGAACTATGAGCATGTTTATTCTTCCTTATATTTAAGTGTTTCCTAAATATGAACTTTTTTTTTTCAATTCAGAAATTGACAAACACATACACACTATACATACACATACACAACACACATGGTAACTC